TATATAATTTTGTTGATTTCAGAGAGGAACAGACAGGGAAAGATGGAAACATCAATGCTGAAAAAGAATCACCAATGGGCTGCCTCCTGCACGCCCACTACTGGGGATTGAGCCTGCAACCCAGGCATGTGCCCTTGACCAGAATCGAACCCGGGACCCTTCAGTCTGCAGGCCGACGCTGTATCCTCCGAGCCAAACCAGCTAGGGCTTGATGCCTCTTAAGTTTCATGTTGATGGAACTTAAGAAGGGAAAGGAGGGATACAACCTACAACCCCACTCCCCACGCACAACGCCCGGGTCTGGGTCAGGCTGGCAGGTTGTTACGCGACATCCAGGGCAGGTAACACATCCTGTGACGTCACTGCCTGATGAGTGTCCCATGGTGCCAGCTGACAGGGCCCCAGGGCGAAGAGATGTGGATGGGGCACCCCGACTAGGCATGGCCTGTGGCACCCCCCCCCAAGAGCAGCTTCTCCTTTTCCTCTGCTCAACACGTGTCCCTGCGGAAGCATCACGCTTTGAGACCAACCAGAGCCACTTCCCAGCTTGTATTACACGATTTAATAACAGCATGTATTTTCTCTTTAGACCTCAGGCTTATAACTTCTTCTGTAGGAAAAAAGGTGGCCCCAGCACATGAGGGGAGCCACCTGGCCCCGGCACCAGTCAGCAGTCGGTGACAGCGACCTTCTCAGGGCGCGTGGCTCTGCGTCCTGCACAAGGACTTAGTGCTGGGCTTGGGTCATCCTCACTCCCAAGGGCATTCACCTGCACACAGCTCGTGATGTCACCGCTACACGAGGCCTCGCTGAGGAGAGATCCCTACAGACTGGGATCTTTGAGTCTCAGTAAAAGGCCCCGGGATGGTTCTCCAAGGCCAGCAGCCTCTTCGGGCTGCGGAAGCGACCTACTACTTCCAACAGGATATTTCTCAGAAAAGTAGATAACCCTGACAACGTCCCCCTCCCTTCACAGCCACACTCCCTCCTGCCTCCGCCCACACTACCAAGGGTATGTATACGCAGACCAGCCTGGAGAACACGGATGCAGGTCTCCCGTGGCACTACCATCCCCTAACGCCCTCCTCGTCACTCTAGCTCCAGGGACAAATTCTCCTGACACAGGCCCCTTTGGGTCATAGGCTTGTTCAAGACTAGAGCCTGGGTTCGGTCCCAGAGAGTCTCCCATTTAAAGGGCCGGCCCCTGTCCGTCCACATGAAGAAGCAGAGCAACCGCCCTCCCGAGCGCCATCCCTCAGCGCACAGAGAAACGCTGGTCTGGACGCCGGAAGCCTGGGCAGGACCACGGGCAGGCACTTCCCGACCTTGGCCACAGGCCAGGGCTCAGCCCCCTGGGGGAGGCCTGGGTTTTCTACGCCCGTTAACATGCCTGTGAGCGTGAAAGGTCAACGAGGCAGCCACGGTGGTGGGGCATCTCGCCTGCCCCACGGAGCAGCCGTGGCTGTGTTTTCGGGCTGAGCCTGGCTGGCTGATGGCGGGACACAGGGAGCCCGATGGGCCTCCCCAGCCAGAGACTGCGCCCAAACGGCCGCTGGGACCAGGGTGCTCTGGAGGGCGCCCGCCGGGGACACAAGGCCAGGCAGGCCGGGAAGACACCGGCTCCAGTTACCTTGTAGGCCTTCACAAACCGGACAAACACAGGGAAGAAGACAGAGGGCGGCGTCGTCTTGGGGTTTTCTCCAAAATACTTCACCACATCATCAAAGGCGTCCTGCGGAAAAGCAAACTTCCCTTCACTCCATCTGCCCAGCAACTGAACGTGACGCTCGGAGAAAGAGCTGCCGCCAAGCAGGGTGATGACGGCGTCACCACAACATGAGGAACTGTATTAAAGGGTCGCGGCATGAGGAAGGTTGAGAACCACTGGTCTATACAATCCTAATTAAGTTTAGGAAATGAGCATTGGGAGGATTGATCTTTGTTTGTTTCTTGCTGACTCACTTCTGAATGACTTGAGTGGAGGCAGAAGATAGGGACCAATATACAGAAAACTTTAACAGATGGATTGGGGAGCTCTTTCTCATTAGCCATCCACTACCTTGTTTAGGCCAACAGAAGTCTAGAGGAAAGACCCAGCCACTCAGCCTGGAGGTGTGTGATAGTGTAATTTATGTCATTTTGGGCATGAAGAGAGCAGATGGTCGTATTCTGAATTAGTTACTTCCAGGGGTATATAATAGTTTTGTGAATAGAAGGAAAAAACTCATATAATCATTAGGGCTTTGCACACCTCCCCACACACACATCCCTCCACACACACCTGCACACACACACACACACACACACACCTACTTCGACACACCTCCACACACACACCTCCACACACCTACTTCCTCACACCTCCACACACACCCACCTTCGCACACACACCTCCACATACACACCTACATACAGACATACACACACATCTCCACACACCTATACACACCTACCCACACACACATACACATATATACATCTATACACACATCTATACAACACACCTACACAAATGCACACACCCACACACACACACCTATACACCTACACACCTACACACCACCATACACACAAATATTCTGTTCCTCTCAAGAGCTTCCTAAGGCCATGGCAGAACTTAAAACCAACAGGATCTTAGAAGTCACTCAAACTTGAAATCCCCACCCGCTGCTGCACTGCTCCGTACAGGAGCCCCACATCAGGACCCTCCCTGTCTGCTTGAATCTTCCGGGACCCGAGGTGGCCAGCCTCGGACGGGAGCCATCAACCCCGTCCACCTGCGGAGCTCCCACAATGCTCTGCTCTCCCTTCTGTGACGCATGCAGTCCTCTGGCTGGTTCTCACATGTGCAGACTGCCTGCCCAGTGTGTGTAAGACTTCAAGGCCAGAGGCCTACAGAAACCCAACGCACTGGGGACACTGCTTTGTGAGCACAGCCTGACACGTGTGGGCTGACCTGAACACAGGACTCACATACCGGAAGCCTGGCAGGGGATGAGGAGAGGAAGTGGGGAGGGGGCTCTACCCAAGAGTATGAAACCCCAAATTAGAGAAGTCAACGAACAGGAACAGGAGCCCTTCCAGGTACAATATTCGAAAAGACACTCCCTCCCCAATAACCATGAGCTACATAAGAATTCTACCCTCAGCAGACAGAGGGCAATTTCCCCTAAGTCCGGGGCCAGCTCCCCCTGGTGGCCTTGAGGGACCCCACCACTTTGGGGGGTGGAGGGCGCAGTACCGACCTGCGCGATCTTGGCGTCGTCCTGCAGCTTCTTCAGCCTCCCCTCTTGGCTGAGGATGAAGTCCTTCAGCAGCGTGTTGTGGTCGTGCATGGAGTACTCCCGCTTGGTCAGGTCCATGCCCCTCTGCAGCTCCTTCACGTCCAGCAAGACGTTCTCGAGGGAGACTGAAGCAGAGAACGCAACGTTCCCGTGAACTCGGCCGGGAAGTCCAGACCACCGTGGGCTGGCTGGGGCGCCCAGCCCTCAGGGGACCCCCTGGGTCACTCAGGGGGCTCAGGCCTCATTTCCAGCTTTCAGTGCAGACACCCTTTAACATAAATAACTCCCCTAGTGCTCACTGTCCAGCACTGCATTAACATTCCTCACATGCAATAATTCATGTGTACTGTTACCCATTTCACCAACAAGGAAAAGCAGCACAGAGAGGTTACGTGCCCTGCCCTAGAGGTGGAAGGTGGCAGAGATGGAGTTCAGATAACAACCATGGACTCCCGTCCGGGGCTTTTACACACCTACTCCAGGTCTCTTACAGGAGACGATGGCCTATGGGTTGGCCTATAGAGGTTCTAAGACCTGAACACTCTGAACTCTGCATTTCTGTGGCTCTCCAGCAGAGGGCAGCATTTCACCTGTTGAACTTGTATTGACCACTTGGTCCCAAAACAGCCTTCTTTTTGTAAACAACCCTTCCCTGCTTTGAAGGCTTTATTAGTACAGAGTGGCCACCTCCCAGGGCAGGTAGCTCCAGCAGCTCCTGCAGGAGGTCCGGGCCCCAGCTCCGGCTCCCCACTGCTGATGCAGATCTGCACATGCAAGGATTACAGAACAATGCAGCTCGCTTTCCCTCTAACTACACTCATGCTGCCTTGGTCACCTTTGACTCCTCGATGCTTAGGATGGTGCCAAGTACACATAATCACACTATCACTTCTACCTGCCTCTCCGTCTCCACCGGTTCCAGCAGCATCCATCCCAGTAACAGTGCATCCCCTCATTCATTCATTCACTTGTTCATTCATTTAGTCCCATGATCCATTTGCCAGGGCAAAGGGAATTCCAAAGATAAATAACACTTAAACTCATACATACAAAGAACATTTTTATATTTGCCAGATTATTTGGGGGGGGGCAGTTAAAAACGTGAAGGGATTAAAAAGTACAAATTGCCAGTTATAAAAATAATCATGGGGATGAAAAGTAGAGCGTGGGGAATACAGTCAATAATTCTATATAATAAAAGCCTAATATGCAAATCGACCAAACGGCAGAACAACTGGTCACTATGATGCACATTGATCACCAGGGGGCAGACGCTCAACACAGGAGCTGCCCCCTGGTGGTCAGTGCACTCCCACAGGGGGAGCGCTGCTCAGCCAAAAGCGGGGCTCACAGCTGGCGAGTGCAGCAGCAGTGGCAGGAGGCTCTCCTGCCTCCATAGCAGTGCTAAGGAGCAGTGAGCCGAGTGGTAAGGAGCAGTGAGCAGGCAGGTAGTAAGGAGCGAGGGGTGCCAAACTGCGAGAGGGATGTCCGACTGCCAGCTGAGGCCCGCTACCCAGGTTTAAGCCAGCAGTTGGACATCCCCTGAGCGGTCCAGGACTGAGAGAGGGCATAGGCCAGGCTTAGGGACCCCCCTACCCCCACCACCCAGTGCATGAAATTTTGTGCACTGGGCCTCTAGTATATAATAACTGTGTATTGTGTCAGATGGGTACTAGATTTATCACAGTGATCTTTGTAAGAAATATAAATGTCTAATCATTTTGTTGTACACCTGAAATTAATAAAATATTGTATGTCATCTGTAATTGAAAAATAAAATTTTAAAAGATAAATAAAACTTGATTATGCCTATAAGTACACATGCTGCAATGGATATGCAAACTGTTACAATACCTCAAAGATTCAATTCAGCAATCTGGGGTGGGCCTCAGGAATATGATTTTGTAATAAACACCATGTTTCACAATGATAATTTGGGAATCACAACCTGTAACTAACTCTGAGATTGATTTGCATGTTGTTCCTCTTTCTAACCTAATATTCTTTCTAGAGGACCTGGTACCCTGGGCCATACACTGTCTGAGAAGACAACCTAGGTTCTAGTCCTGTTTCTGTTGCTTGTGACCCACGAGATGTTGAACAAGACATTTAACCTCTAAAAAAGTCAGCTTTCTCATCTATAACATGGGGAGATGATTGCCTAGTACAGCGGCTATCTCAGAACCACTGGTGATTAAATGAGAAAATGCGTAACTGTCATAGCAAAGTCACAACCACGAAATACTGATAATTTAACTTGTTTTCGGACTAAAGGCAAAATGTTTAGAACCGCCACACCTGAGCACATGAGCCATCACAAAATACAAGTGTTTGTTGAGGGGTAATTCTCAGACTCTCGTTCTCTTATTTCAAAAAACAGCAATAAAATAAAAAGGGCAAAAAATGGAAGAGGGAAGGTGCATAAGGCCCAGAGACCTGGGCCTTCACTGAGAGGACACTGAGAGAGGTCACCTTCATGCCCAAGTTCATTACTGCTCCCGGGAAGGAGCCACACCATGGCCCATGGGTTCCAGCTCAGGGCTGGATGCTTCCGCCGCCTCCTGAGCGAGGTTCTGAGGAGTGTCTGCTAAGCAGGGAATGGCTCCCCCAGGATGAAAGCCGCTCGGTCCCCGGGAGGAACATTAACCGCGCAAGTCAGTACCTGCAGCAGCTTTCTCCACATAATGGAGCTCGTTGTAAAATAGAGACACTTGCTGATACTTTTCCTTTACGACGTTGGATATATAGTGCAGCAGGGTTTGCTTCCGGTCTGTCGACTTCGTATCTAAAAGCTGAAAACAAAAGGGGGTAAGGGTTAGAGTGAGAGGTAGTAGGAGAGTTACCCATCGATGGCGTTCTCCCAGAGTCAGTGACGGAGCACGGGTGCCCCAACACGGACAAGCAACGTTGCTGGGAGATTCAAGCCTGGATCTGTTCCTTGAGGAGCCAGCCCGCTGACTTTAAATGACTAGAGGACGTCCTGACCAGGGGATATGCTCGACTTTAGGGATGACCCTGGCACCTAGGACTGTCCCCACAGCTGCACTCACAGGAGCTCCCCCACCCCACACCTCTCTGGCTTCAAAGCAGGAAGAAAGACTCCGGGTATAGTGCTCTCTCAGGTGAGGGCCCAGAGCCGGAGTGCGTGTGGAGCCACAGGTGTGCACAGGTTCGCCCTGCACAGCGGGGCTCCTACTCTGCAGTCTCCACATGGAATCCAGTCCTTCTCTTTGTCCCGGCCTCTCATGACCCAAATCAGACCTGCCCAACAGTCCATGACCTTCTGGGGGACAGCACTGTGACGAATGGGACGCTGGCTATCAAATAACCACCTGCCGCCCAGGCTGGGGACTCCGCCACTGCCCACCTCCTCGCATGGAGGCCACGTCGGCCCCGCACAGGCTGGGTCACGCAGCATCTCCTCTGCTCCTGCTCATATAAATCAGGAGGCTCTGAAAGCCAGGGCACCCGTTACATCCAGGAATAAGCCAAACATTTTGAGAAAGGACAGAAAAGTATAAAGAAGCAGTTTTTAAAAATTCCCCAATTCCATCCATCCTCTCTGTATCTCAACATACTTCTATTCAGGTTTTCCTACCTACTTTACTTAGGTGAAAATTATCTGTACATTCTATTTAGAGCCTGTGCTTTCTTTTCTCAACACAGAATTACCTACTTCTTTGAAAATTCTTCACAAGTCTTCCTAACAGAAGAAGAGTTCACTGTATGAACTATTGCTATAGCATCTTTAATTATTTCCCCAAATCTTGGCTCTTTATAATGTTGCTAATTATTTGCAATGATGAGTAAATACGGCATCCATCACTCAGACTCCTGAGGATGGATTCCTAGAAGTGGAAATACTAGGTCACAGGGTAGGAGTGTTTCTAAGGATCTAAGTGCCTGCTGCCAAACGCTGTTCCAGAATACGTGCACCGATTGGTCCTCTGCTAGCAGAGCATCCTCATCACAACCTCCCAGTCCACTTCCAACAGCAGACTCTCTGCTCCAGGACGGAATCTCTGCCAGCTGTTTTATGCTTCAGAGAGCTCTTGCATTGCTTTTAGTCCACTCACCAGATCTAAACTCTGAAGCTTAAATCCATAAACTGCTCCTCGTTTACTGCTGTTCATATAGTTCCCGAGGGCCAAGATGATCTGCAAACAAGAGCGAGAAGAGAGAAGCCCATCAGCCCAGCTCCCAGGCAGAGGATGGGGCTGTCGGGCCCGGCCCTCCCGTCCAGGCACCAAGGAAATGTCACTTGCCTCCAGAATTTTCTTGAGTTTTTGAGACGACTTTATAGAGACAGATGCTGCTATAACGGAGTGCAGTTGCTAGATCCAGGCAAAGGAAGGAAGGGGAGAGAAGAAAAACAAAGATGTTAAAAATGGGATACTCTAGCTGGAAACTAAGAGTGGACACAGAAGAACACAGGCCTGCCTGTAGACCTTACAGCCTCAATGCTGAGATTCTGTTTTTTCCTGAACGTGAATGTGAGTGCTCTGCTGGGTGTTCGGTAACCACGTCATTCCGTGCGAGCTCGTCCCTCAAAGCATTTGAAATGAGGAGAAATGTCAGAACTGGCCTGTCACAAAACCCATGGCCATGAGACTCAGTCACCAGCGTGTTCCAGCAGAGCGCACCCCCCTGCCCCCCTCTCGCCATGGAACACAGCTTATATTTTAAATCAATGGGGCTCCTCGGCGATGAAAACAGAACAGCAAAGGAGCAGAACCACCCTCCAGATGCTCTCGGAAGATGTCGGACGGAAGATGTCCGTACTGCTGTGATCCGTTACTAACAAAGGCTTGTTCAGAAATAGGACTGGGAAAGAACTTTCTATGACATTTATGTCTGTGATATTCAGAGCCTCCACCAGATTAACACAGAGGAGGAGGAGATGGCTGGCTCTTCTCCCTACATCACCACAGTGCCCTGTGACAAACCCCGAGCAGGACGATGCCCATGATAAATGCGATGCTTCCAACGAAGCCAATAAGCCAGTTCGCTAAAGACTGGGGGTGGTTTTTGAAATGAAAGCCACATTTTCAGCTTTGCCACCCCAGCCAGAGAGCTGGTATCTTCGGGAGGGGACTAAGGCTAAGAAAATGGTTTTTCCTTGTCCTCTGTATTGACCGGGACTTTAAAATCCAGAGGACACATTCATCCTCTAGGGAGAATGGCGATATGGAACATGTCACCATTTTCAAATTCACTTGGCATACACAAAATGAAAAAGATGGCCGAACTAACAATGGAATCTAGGAAGTCCTGGGAGGGAGTCTTTAGAGCCCATGACACGAAGCACAATTCTGAGAGAGACTTCAACCAACAGGAAGGATCCGGTGTCTCATTGGACCCCCTCCCCTGCCAGAGTTGGTCCACTCACAGGCGTGAGCATCTGGACGCTCTCGGCAAAGTTCCCGATGAAGGCCATGATGGTCATCTTCTGCAGCAGCCTCTCGATCTTGCTGAACTGCATCATGAAGCGGTCCTCGTCCGACAAGTTCTCCAGCGGCTTCCTCTCCCGCTCGTAGAGCCGAAGCACTTTCACCTCATTCTCGGTCGGCAAGAACCTCATCAAACACTCCACAAAGTCCACAGGCAGCGTCTTCAAGTCAAAGCTGAGGGCAGGTGCGGACACGTCAGTGTTGGAGAGAAGGCCCCCACCCTTTCACCCACACCTCCGTTGGGTCTGGCGCGGGAGCCACCCAGCCAGTGCGTCCCAGGTGGACGGTGAAGACGCCCCGTGGTGCTGGCTCCCGACTGTGCAGCCACCTTTGCTGGTCCTTCCTGACAACCTGGACCTCATCACATCCCACATGCAGTTTTTGAAGCTATCACTATACTCAAAGCCTCCAGAAATCAGCAGTAAATGACAGTGGGAAGAGGCAGAGGAAGGCTGAAGCATCAATGGTGAAGTCATTCAAGGACATGCATCTTAAACATGTTAAATACTGCTAATTGGGAGATTAATACTGTACACACAATTAGAGAATATCTGGTGAACTCTATAAAATATTTCAATTAAACCAATAACTGGGAATGTATTTTCTTCTTTAGAAAAAAATGCAACCAAATGCCTGTGTCATAGGGATATTTTGGCTTAAGTGTATACATCCCTTGAAGGAATACCAGATCCCTGTGGATGTATGCTCAATTTGAACAAACGAAGTATCCGCTACAACCTCTATATTGTCCTACGGACAATCTTTGTTCAGCAAAATAATGTAATTATATTTAATCACCATGGCAAACAAGGCATGTAAAAATTAAAAACCAAAGCGTGTATCAGGTTTCAACCTCAGAAATCAGAACAGACTGGAGGAATGCACTGGACTATTAGATTATGATCCTGGCTGAGGACATAAAATTGGAGATGATTTCTTGGGGGCCATTTACTGCAGAAGGAATCCCTGATCAAAATTTACGAAATGTCAATTTACAAGGATTTAGTTCCTAAAACATCTAATAACATCCTTATCATATTTGAAAGTCATCATGACCATAAGAAGAGTAGAAAGATTTTTCTAAGAGAAAAATAAATAAAACCAATGCCTTCTCTGCTGTTCAAGGATAAAAAAAAATAACTCAACTTCGTTTAAAATGTCCTGGAAGCACTAAAAGCAACAGCAATCACATTCCTATTGTTATAAATTGAAATGTGCCTCCATATCATATGTGCATCTGGCGTTGGATGGCATCATCCCACAAATGCCATCACATTCGTATTCAACAAATCTGAATAAAAATCACATACTCCAGAGAAAACTGACACTTCTTCCTTTTCTTAGCATCTGCAATACTCCACCCAACTTTCCTTCTACAGAAGCTTTGCCGTAGACCTACATGAGAGCCGACCTAGATAATTAATGTCACGATCCCGTTGTTCTTCCAAAAACGATTATAATTACTCCTTGTAACACAGCACTCCCGAGGGTAATTTCTGGTCCACCTCTTTTGTGTTAACATTTTAAGCTCTCAAGTTGCACAGATGTAACAAAGGGACTCTCTGGTGTGGGGATATCAAGAATTACTCCATCGTTTACCTTCGATCCTGCCTCACTCTTGAAATATTTCTTTCATCTACGAATTCATAACTTTCTTGTTTCACTGAAATGCAGTTTCCCAGAATGCCCTGAACTTACACATGAATGGCTTTACAAATCTCGTCGGCGGTCTTTCCAGCCTTCCTTAAAGTGATGGCAAGGTTTTTGGCCCTATTTGCTTCCAGTAACGTCACCTTGTTGGATCCCTTCTGCGTTATCTTCTGTTTGCTTGAAGAAAGATCAATGGCAGGACCTTGGGCTTTTGTCTTAAAAATTTCCTCAAATTCATCCACATTTAAATCCTGGGGTAGAGAAGATGAATGAATTAAACTTAAAAATTAAGTTAGGAAGCCACCATTTACACAGTTCGTTAAGTGTCAAAGAACTTACGTGATGCCTGTCTGAGACCATGGCCTGCTCTATTTTCTGGTTTGTGCCCGAGTGTGAGTTATGCCACATATGCAGATGTGAAAATTGAAAGTAGATGACTGGTCCCAACCAGCCACTTCAAATGCCTTTCAATAATTAGCTTGCAGGGATGCAAACACAGACTAAAACTACCCATCAAACCAGCTAGTGAGTATGATTATTAAGTCTTTGTAATTTAATAAAGAGTTTTATGCCCTTTTATAAGTTAAGGGAAGATCTTGTGTCAGATACACACACACACACACACACACACACACACTTGGCATACACTGAAGGTGCTCAAAACTATTTCATTTAACATAACTTTTTAAACAAAGTTTTAAACCCACCTTATAAAATAGTTTCCAATTTTATTCCCTGACATCACATATCCTTTTTTTTCTTTCCATCAAAGCCCTTAAAACACCAGCACTTTAATCACCAAAATGCCCAGGTTACCAACACACCCATTTTGGCTTTGCTGCACAGAGTAACCCGTAGGAAAGATACCTCCAGAATTCGCTCGTCATCAATTTCATTGAAGACTGTGCCATTGATCTGATTTGGCTTCAGGGCAACCCAGTTAAAAACTGGCATTCTGAATTTCGTCTTGATTGGCTTCTTAATTTTCACAGCTACAGAGGTCAGAGAGAACAAAATTAAGATTCCACCAAGACCCCATGACACTCCAGAGCAATCAGACAACAGTCTTTGCAGATGACATGTTAACCCTGGAGGAAGGCTGGCGGGTGGCGCCCGGGTGTTCAAACACCACACGTGGCTGCGGCCAGAGCAATCCGAGGCCGGCTGGTACACTGTGTTCAAGTCATCTATGAGCTGGGAGCTGACTTTTTAATGCGGGCAATTTGTTTGCCACATCACGGTCACAATGTTTGGACAATGCTTAAGACAAATAAATACTGGGGAGCAAAAATGATCAGTCATGCTATTAGACAGCAGAGAGGGCACCTGCTCTGGGGACTGAGATTGAAATTTCGATCCCCAGTGTAACTTCAACATCCTAAATCCTTGGTTCTAGAACAGGTATCTCTGAATGAATCTCAGAAGATGACCAGAGACTACAGATAGTGTCTCTCTGAACCACCAGGAATGTAGCATCAGGAATGTTGACTTCCAGCCAGAGTGCTGCATTCCTATGGATGATTTCAAAAATGGGGGTTATATTGGCTATTGAGTTATTTCAATGGACTCAGGGCCATGAGTGGCTGAAAACAGAAAATGTTCAAGGAGACAGAAGGGTACTTGGAACCAGGACTTGTACTGCTTTTTGAGAATGACCCCGCCCCTCCCCCTCGTGAAGAGCAAGTTCTCCCCAGGGCTCAGCTGCCTGTGACCAGAGGGATGGACGAACTCAGTCAAAACACTGAAAACCTCTGAACAGAGAGGGAGGGCTCTATCTTTGAGGGGTCAAGGGGGCAGCACCAACCCCTCTTACTTTGGGGAAATGAGCTAAAAAGGCAATCCATTAAAAATTCCATTAGTTAATTACACATCATAAAGAAGTCCTCCCAAGCCATTCAAGTTATACAGCTATTTGGGAGCTTTGCTACTTGCCATCATCAGCAAGAAAAGGAGAACTTCCGCGCAAGGGGAAAAAATGCAAAACACACCTGGGCTTTTACCTGGCTGCCTGCCTCAGTGGGAGGCAGACAGCACCTCTCATTCCTCCAGAGTTACACATGCGACATAATCCACAGCAGGATGTCATCTGTCGTTGACACAAAGGCATGCAAGGACACAGAAACACAGCTCTGCCACACCAGGCCTTCCCACTCCCAAGTGCAACACCTCAGTCCCTACTGCCCAGCAGTGCCGGGCTCCTCGCCACTCTGCATCCTTTGCCTATGCTGCCCAGGAACCTGGGACATAGGAACAGCCCTTCCTCTGGGCTGGCACTTGGGTGATGTTGAGGGGAAGGAGGAAGACGCAGGGAAGGGGCTGTGCGGGGAGCTGACCATAATCTTTGGTGAGAGGCCAGGGACGTTTGGTTCCAGCATCCCTCCACAGGCACTGTGGCCTCCGGACACTCACTACAGGTCATTCCATTGGCAGCCATCTTATTTGTTAACTTTTTAGCCAGATGAGTAATAAGCCTATAATAAGCCTGAGATCAGAAGACAAGCAATAAAGTCTTCAGGGCAGGCTGTCCTGACTCTGGGGAAGTGGTATGATCCGAGGAGGAGCTCCGTAGGTGACCATGGCATGCAGCGCTCAGGCTAAGGGGGTGGGTAGGTGCTCTAGGAGAGAGCCGGAGCCCAGGGAGGCAGCACCAGCAGCTCATCCTTGTTCTGTGGTGCTTTTTCTTTTTCCCCAGAATAAACCCAAAGTCCTTCAAGAGCTGAGGCCTTAGACCCAACTATGAAAATTAAACTAAAAGGAAAAACACTCCTTTCCTCCGGGAGAAAGGAATGTGGCACAGGATCCAGGATGTCTGCTTAAAGGACCATCATCTCTCCTCTTCAGGTTCACCTGAAACGTGTGGGCAAACCTGGGAGAACAGACAGCCAACACCGAGACTTCCCGCAGACACAAAGTCAAAATGCAATGGGTCAGTGTACGGTGGAGTGGAAAGATGGAAGGCACGGTGTGACCAACGGGAGCACAATGCAAATACTCAACACACTCAGTGAGGAGCAACCTACAGAAAAGCTTGATGGGCCCATCTTTTGTGGAAGCAGGAAGAACAAAGAAAATACAAAACACATTAGATACAGTTAGAGTCAAGCGGCTCAGCAGATGGCACACTCTTCGCATAGAATCCCAGGCTTCTTGGACACATTTCACGAGGCGGCCCAGAGCCAAAATTCATTTCCCTTCGGGCCTGCCTTGAAGACTCATTTATTTTGTTTTAAAAAATAATCCTTTTTAGAAGAGGGAAAAAAATGATTTCATTATAGTGGTCCCAAACAGCCATATTCAACTGTGCTAAGTATTCCTAAAGATAAGGAAAAATTTTTAATGAAAAATAATCAGCTGGAGTCCACACCCTCATTGTGAAGTTCCAAAGCACATTCCACCACAGAGACAACACAGGGTGCCGACTGCCCAGCGCCCTGCTGCGCTGACCTCACTAGGACATGGGAGCCAGTCAATCAATCGCAGATTTGAGGAAGTCGGCCTTATGCTTCAAATGCACATTTCCCACCACTACGATTTCCTCTACAAACTGCAAAGAAAACTTGACTGAATAAACATAGGGGACCTCCTCCTGGTCCCTGTCTCGGCCACCAAGAGCACACTTGCTCATGGCCTGTTGCAGGGACAGACCTCCTTTGGCCTGCAGATCCAGGGACCTAGTGGTCACAGGTTTCTGGCTTCCCAAGAGCTCTTGGCATATCCCAGCTCTGTGTCTGGGTCTACTGGGACATCCTGATTCTGTCTGGTGTCTTGGTTCCAGAGAGACAGCTCCTGAACACCCTGGCAAAGCATCTCACAACATGGCCCGCACCGCTAAGTGTGAACGGCCAAATTAAGGCTGAGTAATAAAAAGAGATTAAAGGCCTTGTAGAAACTGCTGGATCTCAAGTTACCAACTACGCATAAGGTTCTTACAATCCTTACATCTTGTAAAACAGAGCCTCCTGTGATTGTTTAGAGGACACAGGGCACTAAAGAGGAGTTTCTTCAATCCCACACACAGTCCTCTAAACTACGTAAGACACAAAGGGGACACCTCCCCATGGAACCAGCTCCAAAGGTGGCAGTGGGGAATCGGCTGAAGAGAGAAGCAACAGGCCAACGCATTTTAAAATTAAGCATGCTACAAAATGAACCAGCGAGGACAAGACCCGTTCAGCAGAGCCCTGGACCCACATCTCAGCCTGGTGGCTCCTGCGCTCGGCAAGGCAGCCCTGAGACCTGGCAGAGCTCAGGTGGGTGCTGGCAAAGGCTGCGTCACATGTGAGGTTTCGCCAGAGAGAAGGGAAGCCAGTCCGAAGGAGAGATACCACAGCTGGCACGTCTCACATGAGCGCGCTTAGGGGCCAAGCCGAATCCGTGAGCCCAGTGCACACGACAAGTACAGGTTTTCACATGGAAAACAGCCTGTTGATGGGGCAGGTTCCTGGGGCTGGTTGAGGCGTTTTGGTTTGTGTATATTCCAAAAGCCAAGAGTTCCACGATGACGCGCTTTCTGTTTTTGTCCTTCAGAGGCAATAAAAGCTCTAGAAGAAAGTGGTAGTTTGGGAAGACCTTGAAGGGTTAAAGTAAGTCACTGGTTTCCTGAGAACATTACTGTTTGTTACGTGGACAGTTTTATAGAAGTTGGGGTGTGGAACCAGTTTTCTGTGGGCGGCTTTCTGTCACTAGGATGAGTTAGCACCACAGACTGGCTGGGCATGCTGTGGCAGGACATGCTCAGGGATGCAGGCTGGAAAATCTTTGACAGCTGCCTGTCTTACACCCTCCACTGGGGATGTGCCCACAACCAAGGTATATGCCCTTGACTAGAATCGAACCTGGGACCCTTCAGTCTGCAGGCTGACGCTGTATCCACTGAGCCAAACCAGTTAGGGCTGCCTGTCTTCTAGAACCACCGCAGCCTTGGAAATGGGAAAATATTACAGTGGCGGCTCTTCGGCAGAAATGAGAGACCTCACCGAGGGACTGAAGTGGATGAGGAAGCGGGATCATCTGATGTCACGGGGACAGCACCGCAAAGCTCAGAGCAATGCCCCATGCCAGGAAGACACTCCAAGGCTGGGAGAACAGCTCGCAGTGTTGTAGAGAGGAGTAAACATGCATTTCGGAGTCAAAGATGAGAACTTACATCTCAAGGCATTAGAGGAACTGTCTTCCTCTGGCCCACACCCACCCTGCCTTATGGCTGGGGGGTGATGAGCAAAGCTGGGCCCGCAATACATTAAAATGATCATACACCATGACCAAGTGGGATTTACTCCAGGAATGCAAGGAGGCATTCTAATGCAGCTGTTGGCAACATTCCCCCTTAAAGTGTCACTGGACTACAGTGAATTCCGATGCCCTCTGATGCTCAGAAATGCCTGCAAGCCTACCTCAGGCAATTACACAGAAAGGCACGGTGCCCCCTTACATTGCAGACACCTTCAAGATAAAAGAGCCGCAAGCACCAGAGCAGTCTGTGTCAAAGCTTCAACTACGACAGATGTCCAGACGTGTTCGCTGAACCTGTGAAAACGCCCAGACCCCCAGAAGGTAACCTGTCTCTCTCCCTTCCCTGGAAAGTGCTAAGACGGTGCAGGATCAAGACCTCCCGCCAGGGAGAGAGGGACAAACCTACTGAGAGAGAAAGGCCTCCTGAGCGTGACCATCTCGCCGGCACCTTAGCAGGATGTTCTATCAAGAGGAGAGACATGACATTTCAAGAGACCTGGACTTTGAAAGAACAGCTTGAACCCTCGGAAGTAAGACCAATGAGTATTTCTCACATGGGTACCTGGCTGGGTTTTATTCTCTGCTCTTACCTGCTAATCCTGAGTTGAAAACCACTGTGGGTGAAGACGTCCCAGGCAGCGGGGGTGCAGAAGGAGGAAGGGGTGGTGGTAAAGGAGGAGCTGGCACAGCCTCCGAGGCAGGAC